CAATTAAGAGGTGGTTCCAAGCTTCTCAATACCTCTCCTGATCAGAGGCCTTGCTGTCGGATATAGTTTATCACCATACCCAGGACGGCCAAGCTATGACAGATTGGGTATTCTAGAATTGGATGACAACAGTCTAGGAGAAAGAACACATTGATTTACAAAATTTTATGAAAGCAACGTGAAACCATAGCTATTCACAGATAATACAGAAAAAGGTATCTTTGATGAACCACTTTGTCTACGTACTGAAGGAATATAACATTTTAAGTAAATCAATAATTCTACAGAATATTATTGTCTTGGGCAGGAAATAATTGTTAAGACTTTTCATTTTGTTTGCTATCCATTTACACAAAACTCGTTAAAATGGCGACACTGTTTCCCGCCTCATTATGCCCCATTTGCATTTATTCCGTCAGGAATTGAACCTGTATCCTACATGGAACCGTCATATAGCCTGACGTGCTATATCAGTTTAGTTACGAAGCAGCGTCTAGTTAGCAACTTCGATTTCTATCGGAGGACGCATATATTCTATGAAATTTCTCGGACGTTTATGCCGGTAAATGTTGTTAATACTGTTTATTATAAACAGAGCATTTACTTAAACATTTGCGTATATATATATATATATATATATATATATATATATATATATATATATATATATATATATATAACAATAAATATATTATAACAGATACATATACATACACAAAATAAGTTAGTATTCAGATTTCCGAGAATAAACACTATTTTGTAATCTTCTCTTTAGCTGTAAAATATTTAATCGTTACGTTAAGAAATTCTCAACAAAGAATATTAGAAATAAAAAGCGGTTAATAGTAATCAACACCATGATGAAACAATTTGATTTCTAACCCTTCTTTGATTATGCTTTTGAAAAGATTGGCCTCCCACTTAAATGAAAAAAAAAGTATCTTAAGAATCGAAAGGATTTGTCAGTAAATTCTAAATAATCTGTGCACTGTGTGCTTGAGTTTAAACAAGAAAATGACGCCGAGCGTAGGCACGGGAAAAAAATCAGTGCTTTAGAAGAAAGAATTGCTCAGGGTTTAAAAGATATTAAGCAGAGATTAAGAAATTGAGAAAAAGTAGAAAAAGAACGAAAGAAGTGAAAAATATAAGAGAAAGATGAACGTCGAGAAAAAAATGAAAAAAATAAGAAGAAACAAATGATGAAGACTGGGAGAGAATTGCGAGAAACGAGAAACTTGAATTCTTTGTCGTATTGAAATACAATAAAAAAAAACATCCACTCCTACGTCTTTGCATCAGCAGCAGAGAAGATTGCTTTAAGTAATCAATGACTTGTGTAGCAGAAAAAAAAATCTCGACTGATACTTTTCTTTTGAATGTACTTGTGTGTCTATGACCTGCTAATGTGACAATGTGCCAACTGGACTGATACAATTACTATAAAAGTTGCTGATGTATTTCTGTTAATATACATGTAATGACATGAATGCACAAATAAGAAAATGACCATATATTAGATACATACAATACATACATACATACATATATATATATATATATATATATATATATATATATATATATATATATATATATATATTATATTCATTTATATATACACACATTGTATATTTATATACATGTATGTATACATTGTATATATATATATATACATACATATATATATGTGTGTGTGTGTGTGTGTGTGTATGTATGCATGTTTCCGTTTAAGACATCTGAAGATCGTGTGAGCGTGAAGCTCGAGTTACGACTAAAGCTATCCTTTTATAAGATATTACGTTGGTAAGCGTTTTTTGCTTGGCCTAGGCAATCTAGGCTTAGAGCACTTTATTTCACTGAGATGGTAAGTTTCTTTTTTCTCTTTTCTTTTTCAATATTGTTGCCTTTATTCGAGGCTGTATCTGGATAAGACTTTTTAGGTTTTGGCAAGTTGTCCCTTGGTTCCACCAACGGTTTTTGTTTTTCTTATATATATATAAATAAATATAAATATATATATATATATATATATATATATATATATATATATATATATATATATATATATATACAGAGAGAGAGAAGAAAGAGAGAAAGAGAGACAGAGACAAAGAAAGAGTGGGAGATAGATAGATAGATATGTATACTCAAAGATTACCTAATTAAGTATACTTGGATAAAAAACTCTTTTATGCATTTATAATCAGTCAATGGTTATAATCAATTTAATGCATAGAGGAATACAAACATGATATTAGCGACCTGCTGAATTTCATTTCAATCCTATGTATGGAAAACTATGGTAATTTAAGTGACTTTGAAAGCTACATTTTCACTGATGCCAGACGGACAGTTCCGACTATTGAAAAAACTGCCGATTTACTCAGATTGTTTTGAACAACCAACTCTTGTTCTTACATAGAATGATCAGAAAAAGAAAAAATGTCCCGTGAGCGACAGTTCTGTTGGTGGAAACAAGCTGCTGCTGAAAGATCTTGCAGGAGTTTAGTAGAACTTGTTCAAGCTGAACGAAAAGCAACAATAGCTCAAATAACAACTCTTTACAACAGAGGTATACAGAAGAGCATCTCTGAACTGATAACATTTAGAAACTTGAAAAACATGGTTTAAGTTAGCAACGTTGGGTGCCACTTGTCAGATAAGAACAAGAACATGAAGCTACAATTCGCTAATGATTATAAATACTGGGCAATAGAAACTTGAGGTAAATAAAAAAAACTACACGGGCTAATGGAGTCGCCACTTCTGCTGTAAAATTTGGATGGTTGGGCAGGAATTTAGCGTAAACGGCATGAAAACATAGACTCTGTTATTTAGCAACAGTAAAGGCTGGTAATTTTGATTTAAAGATATGGCTAATATTTTCTTAGCATATTGTGATAAAAAAAACGATTAAATGTCCCATTCTACCTAAGGTATTGGAGGTAACTACCTACTTCAATATATAACTAGATGGTTACTTCCAGAACTGTAACTCAAATCTGTGGTACAAATGAAAACTAATGGCAAATTGGTTCATGTAACACAACAATGATTTTTATGTGTTAGTGTACTCTAATATAACAGGATCCCAACTCCATAGAGCACCTGTGGGCTATTACAGATAGGGAGATTCGAATGGTGAATATAAATCAAGCCAGTGTGTCATAATAACATCATAGACCCAAATTTCGATAGGGTGCTTTCAGAATAACGTCAGATCCATAGCAAGGCAAGATTACAGCGAATATACAAACATCGAGCGCAGTACATGAGCAGGTTCCAAAATAAGAAGTGTGTCAACAATAATCCTACACAAGGCAATATATATCGAATATTACATGAGCAGGTTCCAAAATGATGTGTCAACATACTCTACTTGGACGTCAACCGGGGCGTGAACTCACGCATTCACGCCTACAAACCCATTTTGCGTTACATTATTCTATGTTACTTGTCCTTGCAAAAAGCAAGACTGGTGCTTGAAGTAACTAATTTTGGATCATCTTGTTCAATGTGAGACAAGTATTTTCGAACGCTCCCTTTCTCTCTCTCTCTCTCTCTCAATATATATATATATATATATATATATATATATATATTCGTTAAATATGTAGGACAAGGAAAATGGCTAAGGAAGTGGCCGAAAGAGCTTGAGACAATGGATGATATGGACTGTTTTTTACCCCTTCACACCTACCAAACGGAGAGATCGCTGGCAAAACAAAAAAATGCTAAAATTTCCTTGTCTGTCATATTTAACGAAAGACGATGCAACATCAGGGTGGATATTATTCTTCTACCTTCTTGATACAGGAATGGCAATAGAACGTATTGTAAATCTTCTGGATTCACATGTTGCTTTTCAATGTACATTAAGCAAAAAAAGAAAAAAAATGCGAGTGAGAATTATTGCAACCCACGCCTAAGTTTGAACTCTTGTGCCGCTCTCATGATTTGCATCGTACACTCAAGGGCAAAAGCCACTCTACTGAAAACTACAGAGCGGCATAGGCTATTCCAGTTGTCTCGTAATATTACAAGAGACCTGCACAATTGTGTCTACAGGCATGTAGTTCTCTTCCACTTTTCTCAGCTTAGAATTACTACCGAAAAATCACGTCCAACTTACGCAGCAATTCCCCGAAACGACTTTCCAGCCCACATGAACACGTCATTAAAACGACTCAATGCAGCCCCCAAAATAAGACGTCATTAAAACAGAAAAAATGACAGCAAGCGTGCATCTTCGTTTTATGGCACTAAATTTAACTGAACTTTTTCACGACTCTGAAACATATTTCAAAATACAGGATTGTGTAAAGCCCGGAAAAGATGCACTGGTACAAGACGACTGAAGATCCTAAAAAAATATATTTTAGATTATCTTATAACCATTAGAAATTACATACTATGCCCCAATCATAATCACCATTGTCGTACAGGGCGCTCAAATTTTATTTTACACACACACACACACACACACACACATATATATATATATTTATATTGCAAACGGGCTCGTTACTTTCATTTACGTGCAACTACCATTGAGAAAGATAAAGATCCATTTCACCTCCCCAACTACGGTGTTAATTTGTAGGTCTTCTATCTGTAAAAATCATTGTTATTCGCTAAAACATTATTAAAGCAAAAAAAAAAGAATGGAAATAGACTCATTCTTACATTCCAAAACATGCAAAGATTTCATAAGTTATCGCATTTGAAATTGATTGATTCATTTTTACGGCTTATCAAACTTTTAAAGTTTATTTAAAGCCACCAAATATTTTTAGACTGTACACATTTCTGGAGGTAATATTGATTTTCTGATACAAGTCCTACTAATTAACCTGTAGCTGGGGGGGAATAGGTGGATTCATACCTTTCCTAAAGATATTTGCGCCTAAGTAAATACAATGAACCCGACTGGAATTGGAACTCAGCTCTCCGATGAACAATTCAAAGTCGTTGCCTATTCCATCACCCACATATCAAAGATTACAGCACCTGTTATTCCAATGCTGTTACCTGTCTAGGTACTGACCAGGCTCGATGCTGCTTAACTTCGTTGATTTTATGGGAATCAGTGCTAACAACGTGATATGGCTGCAAGCTTCGCATTTGAAAACCAAAACAGAAAAAATATCATCTGATACATAAAGTATTTCTATTGACAAATGAGATAACGATCAAAATTAGTATTTTTCAAAATGGATTCAATCGAAATTTGTAACTGAGTCTTCACTAAACATGACACTGACGGACTATCGAAAATGTATCTTGTTTTAGGAATTTATTTAAATGCAGAATTGTTTCATATTTTCTGTTACAAACTGTATTTTCAACCGGATTCAAGATGTCACATATTGGGTGACCACAACGCCAATGGTGTAATGAATAAGGACACAGAATTAGAAATCGGAGATCCGAGTTCCAATTCTGGTCGGGTTCATTACATTCAATTCCGCACAAATCCCCTTGGGAAACGTAGGAACCCAGCTATGGGTTAATTAGTTAGACTGTATCACTACACAATTATTATCCCCCCCCTAAAAAACAAAACAAAAAAAAAAACAAAATGCGTACAAAATATTTAGATTTAGGTATTAAATAATCCGTAGAGGTTATTATGCCGCTAAAAAAAAAAAAAACGAACCACACACACACACACACACACACACACACATACATATATATATATATATATATATATATATATATATATATATATAATATATATATATGTATATACTATATTTGATGTGAGACTCGAGTTTGATTGGTTACCTAACCCTATACATATATATATATATATATATATATATATATATATATATATATATATATATATATATATATATATATATATGGGTTGTACTTGTATTCAGGTAATATTTTTTTTTATTTTAAAACTGTTTATTTGATATCTCGATGTCTGATAAATAGAATTTTGGGTAAGACAAATCTGTATTTAGCCTTGAATCAAATCAATTTTCGACAACATCGATTATTTTTAAAATATTTATTACTCACGGATTTTTGAAAAACAAACTCAAGTTTCAATAAGATAATTGCATTTTGTATCTTCACACGTGCTTAATAAATTTATCGCTCTATTGAATTTAGCAGCGGGTTCCAAAATCTGGTGTTTACGTTTAGGATTTTGAAATATCACTAGAATCATATCGAAAAACTCTGGAGAAAAGAAAATATGTTTGTTTTGAGTGAGTACTCAAAGTTAATTATTTCGTTATTTATGAAGGCTTGTAATGAGACAAAATTCTCTTTAAATATTTCATAACAGCTGCTGTTCTTAAATTTTTCAAGGCTTGATCACCTTAGAGATTTTCAATGTTAAACGCGCTGGCTGTTGTTGCTGCTTCTCATTAATTTTAGAATATATTTGAAATTCCTAGATTTTTATGCTTTGTATGATACGCAATCGAAGAATGATTTGCTGATTCGGGATCTAAATAGGACAAAAGTTACACACACCAACAATACAAGAAATATTTTCTTTTCTACATACACAACGTTTCAAAGGTGCCGCTATTTTATCGCCATTTTCATATCAAATGTTCAGTTGAGCTACCCCAGTTTAGATATATATTTTGTTACACTACTTCCACAGATTAAAATCACCCTTATTTCCCCCGTGTTCAGAATGCATATGAAGGAAGATTCACTCGGACAGCTTTTTCCCATGAACTGCTAAATTGTGGAACAGAATTTCGCCACAGAGAAATCAGATTTAGGTTATGGGATTAGTAATCTCGATGTCATGCCCGTTAATAACCCCCAACATTAGCCCTAAACAAAAGAAACTACAAAGAACTATTTTTTTCTTTCCCTTAATCCCCTAAGGAACTACATACACAAAACCGACATATATACAACCTGTTAACACAGTAATTGGACTGAAGATAATATCGAAGAGTGAAACTGGCAGTTATCATAGACTATCGATTACTATGACCAATATAAATTCTCTGTCTTCGATAGTGAAAAGTCTTCCCCTTAAAATATAATAAATTTTAGACAATATATATATATATATATATATATATATATATATATATATATATATATTTAAACTCGGTGGGTGAAAAAACGAGGAAAAAAAAAGAAAGCACCAGAAACCTCCAAACAGGGGAAAGTAATCGTCAAGTACCTTAAATCTCTGTACAAAGAAAAAACAGCGAGTAATAAGTTATTTTATTTTATTTTTGTCATATATATATATATATATGTGTGTGTGTGTGTGTGTGTGTGTGTGTGTGTGTGTGTGTATATATATATATATATATATATATATATATATATATATATATATATATATATATATATATATAATTGTTCTAAAGATCTTTCTTCTATGATACCTAGACTGGGTTGTACTATATCTGCGGCAAGATTTCATCATTTTACTGTTGAAACGGTTGGATGTAACCATAAGTTATATGCTAACGGTTTATCTATCTGTCGTGCTTCCAGCTTGTGGAACTCGTTTTCGGTTCCTTGCTTCACAGTCAGCTTTGATCTTCAAAGATATAAATATAAATGCCAATCGTTATTTTCTCTATTCTTAATTCTTATTCTTTTATTATTCTCTAAACTTAATAGTATTATTCTTTTTTCATAATCTTTAACACTCAGTAACCCTTTGCGTCTTAGTGATTTTATTGTCTTTCTTAAAAGTGAAACGTGTATATATATATATATATATATATATATATATATATATATATATATATATATATATATATATATATATATATATGTATGTGTGTATGTGTATTATAATTGTTTTTTAAAAACACATCAAAACTCCCATGTTTTAAAATTGAAACATAAACATAAATTCAAATTTAATCATAAAATTTTAATTAAAATGCAAAATTCCATTCCATTATCAAGCGATGCTAAGAATAACTTTTTAGAAATTGATTTACTTAATTTAGAAGTCCAGACAAATTTGATATTTTGAAGTGTTATAATATGCTCTACTGTTCTTTCGAGCACTGTTTTTTAAATTAAAAATAAATGCTCAGAACTCATTGTTCTTTTCTATTATATATATATATATATATATATATATATATATATATATATATATATATATATATATATATTAAAATAATAGGAAAAACAATGAGATATATATATATATATACGTAATTCAAAGTGCATATATAGATCAATGCCTCACAAATAACGAAAATAATATTAACGTTAGAACAATTTTAACTCCAAAATATTATAGAGGACTATATGCAAAGAATGGCTCAAAATCCGGAAGCCAGTATAATAATAGGGAAGCAGCCAACATCGGACATTGAATATTGAAGTGTGTAGAAAAAAACTGATTTTGACCATTGTAAATGACGTCAGCTGTAAGGGACTTAATATTGATGACAGCAGGCTTTAAAAGAACTAAATTGATTAAACTGCTATTCTAATAAAACACAAAACTAGTAACCATGATAACGACCGTAGAAACAATCGAATGATATAAATATTGATCCATATAGAGTGGATACAATAAAAGAACTTTTCAAAGTTGCTTCTGGCTTAATAGCGCTTAGGATTTAGAAAAAACTAAATAAATATTGGACAGAAAGACCTTGTCTGCATTCATTAATAAAACCTGTGTGAAAAAAAAAAATATATATATTCAGATATATTTATATGGCAATAATTTGGGAGTTAATATGCGTGTAGATGTAATTATTGTATAAACAGATTAAATGTGTGGATTGATTCGTCGGGTTGCAATCTTGCATAACAAATTTTTCCTCGTAATTATATTTTCATTTTTTATTCAAATGCATTTGTGCATAAATATGAATACGCGCAGGTGTACAATTTTTTGTGTACTCGCTTTTACACATTTAGATGTCTAGCCTTGTTCACCGTGCAATTTGGAAACTATTCTTTCTCGTTTTCGCCTGATGCACACCATTTCGCATTTCTGAATGCCTATATACACATTTTGTATGCAAAAGAATTTCATAACTTAGTATGAATATAATTGAATATATCTCTATGGATTTCTCAGTTTACATACTTATATGTGTTATTTTTAAATATAAAAAATCTAAATACAAACTCAATCACAAAAATACCTCATTAATATGCCATTTTGGAAAACCAAATGTTTTCGCAACATTGCAATTACATACATTTTGCCGTATTTTTAGTTATGTTTTATTTTCAGCGACAGCATTGTCGAAACTGAAAACGTTCTCCAAACAATCTTTGTCCACACTAAGTTATATGGAATATCAGTGCAAGGAAATTTCCATATGTAGAGAGGGCTGTAAGCCGTCTATACAGAGGGGTATACATATCCGATTTCGTGTCTTACATTAACTGGATTTCCAAACAGGAAATGCAATGATAAATTAACCGTAAACTTAAGAGTAAATTCGCTTTGAAAATAGAGTCGAAATTTAGTCAGTATCGAACGTGATTCATGACATGAAGAATTATGCATCTATTTAATGTCGTTGAGTACGAAAGAATCAAAATAATTTTATGAAAGAGAAATTCTAACACTCCTTGGAGACTTTTTACATTGATACTGTCATGTTGGATATTATTTCAAATTTGTTTTACAATCAAATGGAATTATTAAAGCCAGAACATAAAAGTGAGTGCGTCTACTGAAAAAAAAGACGAAATGAATGATGTTTATACTTTGGTAAAGCTTGCTATCAAGAGACGAAGTTGACATGAGAAAGAAATAGTTTGTCCTTAAATGTGCAAGATAAATATTTAAAATATATTAATCCGGGGTGGGAAACAGAAATTTTGTTTGTAACGCAAGTGCAGTAATTTAAGTTGTGTATATATATGTTTATTTACCTACATTTTGAAATTGTCTAGTAGTTAATCTAATTTTCTAGAAATTTATATGGGCTCTTAACCTATTAGACAACTCTGAGTAGAGAACTTGGCATTGCTGCTGCTGTTAAAGCCGTTTCTTTTTCGTTATTTATTAAGATATCTCTAAGCGTGGTCAGCTAAAACAATCTACTCTCGTAGATTAAAAAAAGGGTCCAGTTCAAAATTCCCTCAAGGCTACCTGGATCAACAAGCATCTGATGAAGGCCGGGGAGCACAACAACCAAAACATTGTGATAACAATAACAGCAATAGGACAATAGTTCGCGTGTAAATAATGATAACTCCTAACCCCAGAAATTCAAACAGAGAATATTTTTGTACATAACAAGGTATTATGAACCCAGCTACATTATTTTAAGTATTCTTTTGTATGAAACAAAAGCGACGTATGGAATAGCCATGGTGTTAAGAATTATTCAACTTATCAAATAAGAGGATAAATTTAATTAAGCGGAACAAAATAATCGTGCCGTAGAGAAAATTATTTGTAAACTGCTGATCACGCCAGATTATGGGCTTTTCCACAGAAACGTTAAATATGGTCCAATTGGCAAAGTTCAGTATAAACAACGAGTTCAAGTTTCGATGCCTAAGCAGGTGTTTGCAACAAAGTCTAACTAGCTGACCTCACAGATAGGCTAAGTCAATGACTATCTCGCATATATATCAGTGAATGATTACCTAGCACATACAGGACACACACACACACGCATATATATATATATATATATATATATATATATATATATATATAGAGAGAGAGAGAGAGATAATTATTTATTTAAAATTATAACATAATTTTTAAATAAATAATTATATCTGCTCTTCTATGTATTGAGCACTTTTAAGAATAGTAATTGTTGTTTATTGAAATTTATTCCGTATACACCAATCCTATACAAGTATATATATATATATATATATATATATATATATATATATATATATATATATATATATATATATACAGCAGGCCCTAAATGTAACGTTACGTGGCATATAACGAATTTAACTATATCATTTCTTTTTCAAGTGTATAGAGAGCATTAATATAACAGTTTCGAAATCGGCAGAGTAAAGGAAAAGCTACGCTATTCTATTGACAATAATCTTTAACAAACGACGAGGTGATAGGCTGGTAACTTGAAATTGCCCACTGTGAACAGCTGAAACAAATAGGTAGCATTCCGAAAAACATCATGCAGAGAGACACGATGATAAACACTAAATTCATGCCGTTTGTAAAGGCATTTTTAGCGGTGACCCACGAGCGTCATGTCCTTCTGCTTCACACAAGCCTTCAGGATCAATGCCATCGATATGGTAGTCGCAGTGCTCTAGAGGAGGCTATACGTGATACACCAGAAATCTACCAACTCCAACGTGACCCATCTGCTGAGGAGTGGCTGGACAACAATTTTCTGATCATGATGCCCCCAAAATGTGTCCTGGTATTAATACTAAAAAAACTACTACACATGGTACCTTGTCAAGAGACAGACCAACAAGTGGCCACACAATACCAAGGACTTATTGAAGTCTGCCGTCACCAAACATGAATGAGATATAGCTGATCAGTATGCAGTCACTTCTCAGACTGCATCAAAGTACTACCCGAGGTTAAGACCGGTTTATATATATATATATATATATATATATATATATATATATATATATATATATATAATATATTGCATATTTAGGCAGCAATCACTCTTTTCTACATGTTTCATTAAAGACGACAGAAAAGATAATCCGATTAAATTTTTATTAATTTGTCCCTCTGTTCGAACAAGTGTTTTCTTTTCTGGCCACAGAGTATGTAGAAACTGTCCAAATGTTCTGTAATTCCGAGCACTTTCGGCTATAATTTTAGACCTTACCAAGGATGACTTTACTTTTACTTTTTATATTATCCCCATCTTTATTGTTATCACAACGTTATGATAACAATAACAGAAATAGGACAATAGTCCTGGTGTAAATAATGATAACTCCTAACCCCAGAAATTTCAAAGGCACATAGACCGAAAACTTGTCACTCGAATTTAACAAAAATTTATTTAAATAAATTCTGGCTGCATAAACACCTATCTATCTATCTGGCTTACAGCCATATAGCGTTGAAACAGATTCCCTATAACCAACGAAATTAAACAAAGTCAAGCATCGTCAGTACCTAGATGAGTGACTGCTTGGGATGCTGTAAGCTCGGAAGTGTTAATCGGAGAACCGAGTTTCAATTCCCGTTGCGTTCGCTATATTCACTTACAATCAAATACCATTGGGAAAGTTGTGAATCCACCTCTTCTCCCCCCAGTTATGGGTTAATTAGTAAAACTTGTATCACTAAATCATTATTATCTAAAAAAAATGAAAACGGAAAAAAATATGTTCAAAATATTTCGATTCCGGCATTAAATAAACGAGAGAGATTGATATGTCGCCAAACAAAAACAGCCAAAACGAAACTCTGTTGTTTAAAGGAACAGTTGTTAAAAAGTAATGTTGTTTAAGAAACATATTTAATTGCACAAAGCATCTCACAAAGTATATCACATTAATCTAATGTAAGCAACGCATTTTTAAACATATCTAAAAAATCAATAAGTTTGATTGATTGATTAATTTTACGGTTTATCAACCATTTGCAGGTTATTTAATGCCGGAAATTATTTTTAGATTGTACGAATTTTTTTGAGATAATAGCGATTTACGAGATATAAGTCCTACTAATTAACCCATAGAAGAGAGGTAGATTCATACCCTTCTCAAGGTTATTTGCGCGTAAGTGAATTTAACAAACCCGAGTGGGACGCTATTCTCTGATTTCCAATTCCGAGTCGTTATCCGTTACACCACCCGCATTATCCAAGCTTACAGCACCTGGTATTCCCAAGCGGTTACCCAACTAGATACTGACCAAGTTCAGCGTTGCTTAACCTCGCTGATCGTACGAGAACCGGTGTTTTAAAGTGATATGGCCATCATCTCTACAATTTATTTATCTCTAGTTAAATTATTATTAACGTAGTACAGAAATTCAGTTTTCTCATCGGTTTCATTAATTAAAATACACTGAAGGAAAATAGCATTGCTTACTCTGAAAATTTGATTCAATTTATTCAAAATAAACTCTACTAGTCGTATAGTGGGATTACAGTAATTGATTAAAACAAGTACATCAATTCAAAAATAAGGAATATATCAATAATACTGAAATCTGCATATTAATTATATATTATTATTATTATTATTGAACAAAATGATTGACGTAACTCTTCTAATATTTTTTCAACACTGAAGAGAAAATTGCGATTTAAGAAAAGAACGCAATATTTGACAATGTTAAATAATATTTACACAGTGTGTCTGTCTTTAAGTTATATTTTAAAAAGTATCAAATATAAAAATATATAAAATTATACAAATATATATATTTTAATATAATTTGAAGAAGATAAATATATTGTCGAAATATTAACATTATTAAACACTGTTTTTCTTTAACTTTTCTTAAATTTCTTAACTATTATTATTACTATTATCATTTGTCTATGCTATGTTTCCTGCTTTGTATCCTGTAGAGTCGGGTCCAAACTATGGTTCTTAGACCCTATAGGAGAATTGTCATTTAATTGATAATATATGGGATGTTCTTATGTATATTGATGTTACGCTGTTATTAAAATTTACATTCCTTTTCTCACGAGACCCAGAGCTTCGATTACTATTGGTATAGTCTCAGCTTTCCTCACATCCAGTTAATCCCGATATCCAAGTCTTTGTATTTGGACAATTTTTCGATAATTTTCATAAAGTTGTTGCTCTCAGATGCCACTGTTATGTCAATAAGTATGCACTTGCTGAATGTATTTATTTATCATAATATCAAGTCTGTTGGCTTTTATTTCCCTGTCAGTTTGAACTAGTATGTCGCAAAGGATATTTACATCGTCATTTTGGGTAACTGTCTGGTTGGTGGACATAACATCCCTCAGTGGTTTCGATTTTGTGCTTCTTGCATATCTTCCAGTGCACATATGTCGCTATTTTGTTATGTCTGTGTGTATATTATTATTATTATTATTATTATTATTATTATTATTATTATTATATGTCCACTTGACCACTGGCACAAACTCGTACTCTCGGATGTATAAAATAGTGAATAATTGGAGATATATTATTACACGCCTGTTGCATTTGTCAACGTAGTACAGTAGATGTAGATAATCTAACTGAACAAATCACGTGTCAGCCTGTCATGCCACGCAAGCTCAGTAGCGGGGATATATTCGCATATCGTGATGAGTGGAGAAGAACAGGTTGAGTAGCACGGACACTATGTGGGCAGGATTTTTTCTACGAAAATATCACAGCGTTTTTCTTTTGCCAGAATAGGAGTAGAACGAACTGATCGATGTTCCGAGCGCACATGATATTTAGCCTTTCCCTACACAGTCCTAAAGACGTGCATGTTTGTTTGTTTTTGGTTATTTTATTACAATAACGTTCACCTTGTACAAAGAGGCCACTCGCGGTAGGGAATTACATTAAGAGTCAGTCTTCACGGATAGTAGGGGAAGGTATCTACAAACTTGAACAGGTTAAGATTGTAATGATTCCTCTTGGAAGTCGGTTTCACAGTGCAGTAATTCAAAGAAAAAGAAGCTGTTCGAGTGGAAATTACATTTCACCGATGGAATATCGGAGCGAACGTGGGTGGTTTGCTATGATGTAAGTGACATGGCGGGTTTTTGTTGTGAATGTTAGGCTTGGCGAAACCAAGTAATGTAGTTCGTCCGAGCACTTTCCGTGGAAATAGCGACAGAGTAGCGAGAAGTAATCTAAACGCCGGGTGCTGCATCTGTGTGTTGTAGGCAGATACACACTGGAAGATGTCACTCTCCTGGAGACAAGCTAACATTGCTTGAATGAATGTTGGACCTATACTCATCAGTGAAAACGATAGAGCGCCATTCGGCCTCTCGTAACGCCAATGAATACGTGAAAGGCGTTATTCATTTTTTGCGCGAGGTGCGCCTGCGCGTGGTCCTTTAACATTTAAACAATATCCTAAAGTCAAAATGATGTTTTATCATAATATCTTATATCACTAATATGCAGATAATGTGACTCGGTAAAAACCGATACCATCCTTCGAGACAGTCGATTTTATTTCCTCATATTGTAAAATTTCCTATAATTTATTTCTTTCCTTGGGGACAGAAATGCGTAGCAAATATAAGTTTTTTTTTAATATTATCAATTCAATTTATTACTATTGCCTTTCAGATTTATATCTCAATTTTCATATTTATATATATATATATATATATATATATATATATATATATATATATATATATATATATATATATCTTCCCAGTTTCTTTCAAATCCCACCTTTCCTGAAAGAATTACTACTTTCCGAATCCAACATATATTATCACAAACATGTCCCAAATCAAAAGAAAACGGTTAAATACCTTATCTCATATTTTGAAGATGTACTGCATATACGTCCATCGTAAGAATCTAATCACAATTTAAACAATATCCTTTTAATTATATATATATATTATATGTTATGTATATAATATTATATATTATATATATACGTGTGGGGCCTGATGATTGCGTCTAGCATGAAAAATTCGGTCCCCTCTGAGTGTTGACTTTAATGTTCACTTTTATTTTTACACACACACTGTTTTTGTTATTGAGCACTTTATCCCATAAAATATAGCACACCTTAAAACTATATATATATATATATATATATATATATATATATATATATATATATATATATATATATATATATATTTAATATTACTCGCTTACTTTTACCTTATCAGACTTTTTGAATTATGATATTTTTGTATCTTCCCCATGTTTTAATTGACCTTTCAACCACCTGATGAATATTCATGAATGTTCTCAAATGTAAAAAAGCTTTGATAAACCAATGAAAGTCTTGCTTTTGTATATAAACACGTGCAACAAAATAAATCCTACCTTTGCCTTGATAAAATCCTCAAAGGACGAAACGCGTCCACTATGGATTGTTTTCTTCATGTCTTTTATACATATATATATATATATATATATATATATATATATATATATATATATATATATATATATATATATACATACAAATATATATATATATACATATATATATTTGTGTATATATATATATATATATATATATATATATATATATATATATATATATATATATATATATATATATATATGTATATATATATATGTGTGTGTGTTTGTTTTTTTAGTGTAAGTGTATCTTTGTGTGTGATACGGAGTTAATATCTGAAGACATCTGTTTTGAAGATTTCAAAGTGACTCGTATTCGCCACTTCATTAATTGCCCTAATAAGGAAAGAAATGGAAATGTATTTTCCTAATTTGTCTCCATATCTACTGATTTACCCACGTGGTGGTATTTCACTAAATGTGACAGCCCTCGAGTTTTTGTGGGTAATATTGTTCAAGCAGTGTTGTTATCTTCCGGATCAGTTAAAAAAAATATTTGAATATTTTATCGCAAAATCTTGTGTGAAATATCACTATGTGATTGGTGTTGTCTTTATAATCTTGTTAGAGAAACCAATACTAAAGTTGCGATAATATCCTTGGCATTAATTCAAACTCCTGTATACATTCCTTTATCATTTAAAATCTCTTCTATGGTGTGGAACAATGTTAGGAAAGGTACTTCAGGACCATCCGCGTCACATCATAGAAAATACTGTAGACATGTGTTTAATGATGACAGAAAAGAAGACACAGGCGCCCATAGAGGCAGATAAATATAGTTTAAAAGCAAACTTTTTGTGTTAAAACATTTACAGAAATAAAGAAAACTATTATGACAAATTAAATCTTTTATTTACCATCTAAGAAATATATTTGCATTAATCAGTAAAACACCAGACACGCTCAATAATTTAAAGTAGAATCTTTAGATATTTCCTTAAAAAATGACAAAATATCCGCGAAAAATCTTTTTATATGTGAGGGGGTGCTGAAAATTTATTGGCCCGATAAAGAAGCTTTTCCAAAAGAAGTTCTATTTTGATCAATTTTGATGATCGATAGCGCCAATAACTTTTAGTCACTTTCTTACTCTTTATATCTTCATTGCAAATTAATGAACGTACAGTTCGTGCGATTTTGAATATTGAGAAATGTTGGAGATTGCATTTACTTCAGATGTAAAACATGAACAGAAAAGAAAATTGTTTAGATAAAAAAAAGTAAGATTATGGAAGCAATTTTGAATTATCGTCACAGCCTTAACAGAGATTAATTTAAAGACGATTTTGTATAGATTAGTTTTCTTTAAAAAAATTATCTATTGTTTCTTTAGTCATCTCCTGTAGAATAAAGTGAAATTTGCTTCAGGTATAAGAACAAATTATTAATTTATTCTTAATGTACATTATTATGATTATCAGCACACAAAATGAAATCGGCGAGCCGAGTTCAAATTCCGGTTGATTCCATTCATTCACTTATGTGAGCTGATATACTTTGGGAAAAGCATGAATTTATCTTTCTCTAGCTATGGGTTAAATAGCTGGGAATACTGGGCTTTCTCGTTTTGTGATAGCAACCAGGTAAGGAGAAAGAAACTGAACTAAAACTGAAGTGGGATTGGCTCCGTCAGGTTATCTTGTCTTAGACATACCACTGATGCTTTAGATGCAGTAAGTGTGGTGCTCCTACAACTGTAATTAGCTATGGAGATCGTGACGTAATATTTGAATGTTGTTGTGATACTAAACCAACTGATATATAACAAAAATATATTTTCGAACGCTTTCATCATCATAAGCGTGATTATGTGAAGAATGTTAAATGTTCATTTTGCAAGATTATGTTACTCATATTTTCAGTGGATTAGATATTTACCTGTTACCATCTTCCTTTAATGGAATTCACCTGTGTATCTCA